TGCTTTCATAGATATTCTTTCAATGAATACCTCAAAGTACAATAGCAAGAAGATTTAATATAGTTTTCTAAAATCAGAACATTTCTTTGAAATTTTTATTTTATGTTTCAAAAATAATAAATTTATTTTGAACTTTAGTTCAAAGATGGAATTATAAAAGACTACCTATAGGCATAAATAAACTAAGAATGTACATATTTTGCACATGTATATCTAAGTAGAAAAATAAGCAACAATTCACGGAACATAATGCTAAATATTCTAATGACAGGAAATCAGAGAAAAATTTTCTGAGTCTACCTATTAAATTTGCTTTTACTTCTTTAAATCTCAGAATCTTTAGTTCCCATTCTAATGAATCATATTCATATTTTCATAAAATAATAATGAGAAGAATAGTAGGCAAACAAACAATGGTAAAAATATATTCTTTTAAACAAATTCAAAGAAATAATAAATAATTTTATTTCTAAAATTGTTTGTGATTATCTGCAATTTGCTTATAGATGTGAAAAAATACCTACTGAATTTTTATATCCCAACTTTATTTAAAGCCATAAATCTTATATCATTTGAGATAACAGTGGATTGCCTCAATACTGAGGAACAAACTTTGACTATATAGTCAGGTATTAGTTGAAAAAGTTTATTAGGAAGTAAGCAAGGTTATTTCAAAGAGGTAAGAGGGATTAAGAAATATCTCTGTAATAGATGGATATAACAATCTGTACCCACCAATTTTTGTTGATTTTACTTTTATCCTTCCTAATTTTAATATTTAAGATTTAAAAAGATAAGACATTCAGTTGTTTTCTTTATTTCTTCAAATATATTTTTGGAAAACCACTCACACGTTCCTTAATGCCCTAGAGTTCCCTGGCAAGGTTATGCGTATATGTTTTCCATTCTAATTGAAATCTCTTGTTCTTCAGAGGGAAAGGCAAGAGGGGGTGTTTTAGCAGTCCAACTGCCAGCTTTAATTAGAGATATTATACTTGAGGTCTGGAATTTTCCAATGAGTATGGTGTGCCTATCTTTAACATCACCCATGTCCAGAGAACTCTGGCCAAGAACTCTAGATAAAAGAACATAACAGGGTTTGCTCAAAAAAGATCCTGCCATTTGAAGTAGAATGGAAAAAAAACAAAGGTTGAAGAATTCAGGGCTAAGAAAAGAGCTTATGAAAAGTATACAGGTATTACAGGAGCCTTTGGTAATCAAGAAGGTGGTATGACCTGGTTGAGATTTCAGGTGGATAGAGGGTGTGAGTAACTGGAAAGTTCTTAGAAAAAAACTTCTAAGAAAGCACTGTAAAAACTGTTTTACTGTAAATTTTAATGGAAGGAATGAAATATGAGTGACAAGTAAAGTCATTGATTTATCTCTTCTTTGGACTACATAAAGAAAATAATGAACTTGGCATATTTACTACTCTCTAACTTGAAAGTCAGCATGGGTCTAAGAATTTTTAATAATACAACATACCATATTATGTGAACATATATGCTATGAAATATGTTTTAATCATAAAACTAGTGAAACTGAGTGTACAGTAATATATGTATAATTAAGACATTCTTTACATAATAAAAATAAGTATCTTAGAAATGGTCCTTTGGATATTAAAGTTATTAGCAAAGTAATGCATGGAAAAGCAAATATCTATTGCTTATTTTTAAAATTTTATTTATTTTGTCAGCATTCTAATTTAGTAATCAAGAAGGTGACCTCTGATATCATCTGGATCATATCAATCACCAAATATCCCAAATAATGTTTCTCAGAATGCAAAGACAGTTTGAATGTAGGAAAGTAGTTAAAACTTTAGTCATTGATGACAATTTCATAACATTTCCTGATTTGTCAAGGCATTTTACTAATTTGCTTGGGATTCAGATTAAAAAGTTCTTTTGAATTGAGAGGAAAAATGTTGGTTATGATGATAAAATATTATCACATCATTTTTCAGCCTCAAAGTAATTTAATATAAATTACTATGAGTAATTCTAAGAGAAAGTCAAGAAAACCTGATTGTTTTTAATCTCTGCAGAATCATAATAGTCATGATGGTATCAATCAGCATATACTAAACCTTGATATCACTTTCAATAAATGTTAGAATCATTCCAATATGTTAAAATATTGGTAAATATCTTCTCCCCATAAATAAACTCCATTGGCCCCCAGCCTTGCAACGGATCATCGTGGTTTAGTGAAGTTAGCTCAATTGTCTAATCTCTCAATTTTTGGAAGGGAGTCTTACTCGTAAAAGGATAATAATTTCATTTAAAGATTAATAAAACAATTCCACTTAAAGTTCACACAAAGCACATTTAGTCCATTGTTTAAATAGGGATTTCTGCCCTTTATTTTTCAAATGTAGCCATAACTCAAAACATTAAATTTTAATTTTTATTATAGGTAAAATGACCTAACTTAAATCAAAATGGAAACATTTTTAAAGAGACAGCATTTCTTCTAAATCATTTCATTGGAAATTATGTACCCATATTTAAGTCAAATTTAACATAAGCAAGAAGTTTTTCACTGTAAATGTCTTTATGCAACTTCCCGTTGTACTTTTAGGTCCACATGCAGGGTCATTATCACATACAGCGCCAGGCTATCAAAGGCTGATGTCCTATGTAATCACTACCTGATGGAAAGGAATGCAGAATCCTTATTATAATCTACATGTTTGTATTAGAGATTATTTAAATTTCTAGATACAAACATACAAGAGATATAAATTTTAAGTATTGATTTTTACACAATTCTAGATGCAAATATTTTAAAGGGACCCCCCAAGAGAACAATTTTCAGAAGAATACAGAATTATCAATATGGTGCTATTATCTTTGTTTGTTTGTTGAAGGGTTAAGTTAGGTTAAAAGTGTTTGGGTTTTTCCTACTTTTATTGGTTTTTAAATTTGATGCTGTCAAAATAGGCAAAAAGTAACCCTGATAAATGCTTGAAGAGCTAAATTAGATCTCAGAGAACCAGCTTGCTACGTGGAAATCAAGTGACATGTAACAAAAATGTCATATGGAAATGAAAGATCCTGTGATTTTTTATTTTCCAGTAATAAGTGCATTATAGAAATGTGGCTGTGCAACTTCACACTGAGTATTGATTGAGAGGTTTCTTTTATTGTCTAAAATGTATTATATCACAAATGCAAAAGCATAAAAAAATAATTTCTACTTTTGAATAAAATCAGTACATTTAAGTATTAATGTAGATAATAATATTGTTCAAATCAACTACATTAGGTATATAATTGATCTCCAAAGTATAAACAAGTAACGTAAAGTAAAATAAATTTTCCTAAGTAGTCATATGAAATTTGGTGGTGAAAATGGAACTTCACACTATAGATACCAAAGGAACATGGAACTAATAGTGATTCAAGACTGTAAGACTGGTTGTAAATAAAAGGCTGCCATTTGGTTTTCTCATGTTCTAGACCAGCACTGTCCAAAAGGAAAATGATAGAAATAAATGCAAATCATATCTGTAATTTTAAGTTTAATATCCACATTAAAAAGAGTAGGAAATAGGTAATTTTAATTTTAACAACATATGTACTTAACCTAATACATTCAAAATATTATCATTTTAACACATGATTATTAATGATATATTTTATGTTTTTTAAATATCTTAGAGATCTTGTATGCATATTACACATATAATACATTTCAACTCAAACTAGCTGTAACTTAAAGTGCTGAAATGCCACATGCAGCTAGTAGTATAGTATACCTTAGTGGGCAGTGCAGTTCTAGAATATGCCATTACTCTTATATTACTAGTAGAATTGAGAGAATATCTCATTAATATCCAGCAGAATGAATAAATGCCTAAATGCATGTTCATTCTAGTGTCAACTTCTTATTGAGTCAATTTTTTGTACTGTTGGCCTTTTTTCTACTTAAATAAAAACAATAATCTTTCCTACATAATAAAAGGCTTCCTTAATAGAGCTTTCTTATCAATCAAATAGACTGCTTAATAAAAGTTGTGGACCATATGTTCATCGCCAATTTCAAAAAAATTCATATGTAATAAATATTCTAAATTCAATCTTGAATTGTTATTGCTAAAGTTGTCAAATATTGTTGTAATTAGATCTGCACTAATGCTTGTTAGCAAGGTAGCTTTGTATTTATGAAAATATATTCTCGTATTAATATGTAAACATTGTTGTCTATATGTTACAAATCCAAATGTGTGCCTTTATTAGAGAGTGAACTTTTGGCCATATAAGAAATATACCAGCTCATTTATTAATTCTAAATCATGGATGGCTCTCCAAGAAACTGCTGATGGAATTTATGACAGGACTCAGTGGTAGAACTCAAATCAACACTGCTTTATAAAATTCTAAATTTGGTTGGGAAAACAAGCTTCTACATTTATGTCACATCTCCAAATCCAGTGAGACAACCCTAAACTCACCTGACCTCCGGCAATTTGAATAATTACAATTATTTGAGGAGGATATGCTACATGGCCTATTAAAGATTCGATATTGTGTCAAGTGTAATTTAAATCAGTGAAGCCACAGATAGAAGCTTAGGATGTCAACAAGGAGAGTGCCTCAATGTTGCAGAAACATAAAATAGTTTCAGAATGGAGATGGAAAACGACTTGCAAATAGTGACTTCTTTTGCTAGTTATAAAAATAAATGTATTTTACCGATTTGGAGTCTAGTGGCCTCTGTTTTTAGGGAAAAGACAGCATTGCTATTTTGAGTTACAGGCAAGAAAATAGTTTAAGAAGAAAAAAGCCCATTGAAAATTTAATTAAAAGAAATCATTGTGGTAGATAATTTGCAGTACTGGTCAGATTATAGAAATCATCACTTTTTTTTATTATAATGACACCACTTACCCAACTCTTTGCTTCTATCTTTACTCTCCTGGTAAAATCATTATGTGTTTAAAGGGAGAGAGAACAAAACAGGTAAAGCTGTAGCAAAAGGCACAAGGATACAGTCCCTTCCTGGAAAGAGGATTTTGTGGCGAACCATTTCTCCCATAATGCATCCCACAGACCATATATCCACTAGAACAGGAGAGAGAGGGTAGTGAAGAAAAGGGAGGAAAGTAAAGTTAACTAAGATAATTGACTTCTGAAGGAGGAAGAAAAAGAACAGTTTTATTAGAAGGTACAATTTTTCACCTCCCACCAAAAGTTGGCCAAAAAACAAATTAAAACCAGCACTACACTATTACATTAACAGTCAGTGTCTAGTATGAGAATTCAAATTAACATGTAAAAAATTGCTTTATGGGTGCCTTAGACTGCCTCAGTAGTGCCACAAAGTGGTGACATTGGGGACATGGAAAAGCAGTAGCTAAACCGAAATATCTTGTGGCAGGCGAATGAGGAGTTTTTGATGCCATTTGCTTGATGCAGAAAAAAAAACAATATTAACCCACAGGGCTGCCTGTTTCCATTTCTATTCTATTCATTTACACATAATAGGGCAACAAGAGACCACCTAATTTATTTGTTTGTTTGTTTATGGGTCCAAAATAAGGTGCATTGAACCGAATCCAAAAAACTAGGAAATAACTGAGACTAGAGTTTGCAGGCAGAAAAAGTAGAATCCCTGGTATTTGGGGTATTGGTATTTTCCTTCAGAAGTTATCTTTGTAAATAAACATCAGTTTTAGTTTCTATTCGAAATATTTCAAGAAAAAAAGATATATGATGAATTAGCACACGCATAAAGATGTCATCTGGAAGTAAAGTGAAAAAAAGTATTAAAGGTGTTAAAAATTGTTATAGACATATATTTATTTCCAAACTGTCATACTCGTTAGGCAAACATGCTTTACCTTCTACCAACCTTTACCCCCTTCTGACTTGCTTTTTATTAAGGACAATGGGAACTTTGGGACAGAAACATTAGGCTGAACTGCTCCGTGGGGAAGGAAGGCAGGGTTAGGTGCACAGGACAGCGGGCATGCCTGACGCGGGAGCAAGCAGGTTTTTCTGCATGATAACCTCCCTCCTGCTGCCGGGAGGCCAGCACAAGGGCGCTAGGCATGCCTTCTCCCCAGACGTGGAGTGGAAAAGCCAAAACACTAAGACAGCAACTTGCAACTCCTTCTACTGGGGGAAGGAGGGGGGATTTTTAATACCAAAGCCAAAATAGGCAAATTCAGACGCCTCCCCTCCAGTCCCCTGTACATTCTTGATTCTTGACTTTTCTTTGTTTTCCCTTTGACTTTTTAAAAATAACTTGTGGAGAATATGTATAAATATCTTCTTTCCTGGATAAATCAGATGTGGGAGGAAGGCTTGGGAGGAGGACTTGATACATCTCTTCTGAGTCAAAAGGTACCAGAACTTTGACCCTGCCCACCAAGGTGAACCTAACCTTAAGAGCTGAATTTTTCCCTTCCTCTGTTCAAATGAACAAAAGTATCGTCTGTCTTCTAATCTGGAAGTACACAAAGAAGTTTTTGTAAACTTCAGTGGCCAGGGAAGTTTCATAAAATACCCTCCCGGTAGCATCTGTACATAAAAATATTCTGATTATTTTTATAGAACTTATAAAAATATCCTAAAAAAACAGTAAAAATATCCTGCTAGGAACTAAATAGAATAGAATATAAAAATAAGTATGAAAGCTACTTTGAGTATCTATATATATAATCCTAATTTAAAACCATTTTAATTCCTAAGTATATTGGATATGTTTTTTAATGTAGCTTATTACTTACAAGAAATAGTCTCATCAAAATAAAATATTGCAATGTTTTCTAACAGGTGTTTAATAAATCCTTCATTTTAATCAATAAAATCCAATTGTAATACATTTTGAAGATTCTTTCTATACCCTTTCTTTTAAAGTGTTCACAGATATTAGATTTTCCTTATAAAAGCAGTAGTATCAAATTTAATATTTTCTGCTCTTATGGTTTTTGGAATTGGTAAAGATTTACGTGGCAATTGCTACTCTAAAGATTACTTACAGAGCAGCTTAAAGTATTAAAGAAATTCTTATTCAACTCAAATAATTTAGATTATTTCAAATTGACTATTTATTTAGTGTTTATGAAGGTTCTCACTCCAAGGATTTGTGGCATCTTTTTACTTCTCTTTCCCTAGGACTAGAGTCATCAATCTAAGATATGACATAAAGCCCAAGGGTTAAATGCAATAGATAGATTTCTTCCTGTTTTCACATGCACTCTGAGCTGAGCTGCGACCCAAATAGCAATTTTTCTCCATATCTGCAGCAAGTGTGCTAATCAGTATCCACTTGACTGTTTAATCAGACTCCATTTATGATTCTTTTTTAGCTTTTAGCATTTTAGTGCTCTTCTAGCAAAGCTTACTTCTGAGAAACACTCTTCACATTTTTAATGAGTGATTCTTACCAGTAGTATTTAAAAAACTCTGAATATGAAAGCTGGCAGCCCTATTTAAAAAAAAACAACAAAACATGATATGCATTAAAGAGAACATGCCTCTTGGCTATCTAAAACGTGTACCCACGTTATACACGGTACGTGATGCTGCCGCGCAGAAGCGTCCCTACCGTTCTCCTTGTAGCCCATTCCCAAGATGACTTCAGGGGCTCTGTAATAACGTGTCACCACATACGGAGTCATCATGAAGCTCGTGCCTGCTGTCCTGGCCAGTCCAAAGTCCAGGATTTTCAATGTGCAATCAGACTTCACTACAATGTTACTTGGTTTTAGATCCTGCCAGTAGGAACAGGGAAGAAATTAAAAGCCAGTGTCAAATGGAACACGTGATTTCCACCAACTCAGTTAAGAAAACGGCCTTGCAATAGCAGTGATGGGGTCCCCCTTGCCTGCAAATTCCTATATAAGGCAACTGATTACTGCTTCAAAGAAGGGAACAATTAGTTTTTGGATTTCTTTAAACATGCCCAGAAAGTTGTTTAAACCCAGAAGAGAACTGTATTACCATTTTTACAATTTAGGCTCATTTTGGGGAAAGAAAACAATAGAAAAACATTTAAAATATATAAAACCATATATAAAAATAGAAAACATATATCATTTATTGTCATCTGTTAGGTTTCTCTTTAGAGAAATGTAAATCTTTCACTTATATTTCATTTTCTAGGTCTGACAGAAGAACAGATTAAGGCAGCTGTCTATGGAAATGGAAATGAATTGTCTCATTCCAACACGGTGCATAACCTCTGCCTATCAAGGAGGCACAAAGCATGAGGCTTCTCAGAAGCTACCTCTCAATGAGCTGAAACATAACATTAAACAAGATCAACTACAGCATAGATAGAATTTCCTTTTATACACTAGTGAACTATATGCTAATCCTATCATCAAAGAAATAGGGAAGTGTTATTATATTTGATCAAGACCCAAGCATAAAGAAAATACTCTACAGTTGCTCTTTCTCTTCTCTGAAAGCATCTTAATTATAATTCTAGCGCAGGTGTTCTTACCCTGTGTATAATTCCAGCAGAGTGGAGGTGCTTAATGCCACACAACATTTGGTATAGCAGGTAAGACATTCGCTCATGGTCTAATTCCATCTGAATCACCTGACATAAGTTGGCATCCATCAGTTCCATTACTAAGTAACTAGAAGGTAAATCCACAATGTTAGTTCCGGGTCACGAGATCTATGAAGTCCTTCAATTTAATCATAATCCTCTCCTAACTTTGTAAGTCTTCTCAACTTCCCAGCTCTGCCTTTGACTGAAGCAAGAATATGAAAAATTTACAAGTATTGCATGTGTGTCAGCTACAGTGCTATACCACCAGGTTGCTAATAGAAGCAGCACTTATTAGTGTGTGGTTCGTGCTCATATATTTTTTACCTTCATCTTGCTCTCACTCTTCCCTGTGTACCCTCAACACCTGAGTATTGTGATTACAGGCAGGAAAAAAATTCAGAACCATTTCTCCCATTAAATTCAACATATCTGTGCTAAAGAAGATAATGTGGAAGGGAATCACTTCTTCTCCTCTGCTTATCATTACTATACTTCTAGGTAGACTGTTTTTGTGCAGAATCAAAGGAACCACAAAAATAGAAATAAAGAGTAAAGATAATGTGATCATGTCCCTTTTATTGCTATTTCTCAAGATGAATTGACTCATTCTAGAAAGCTCATGGAATCAATTAATGATAATAAATAAATAAGCTTTCCCTGATTGAACCAAGAGCATGGAATAATGATGTACACAGAACCATAGGCCAGAATGAGGCAGACATGTCTTTCTATTAATAGGAAGTAACAGCATAAGCAGAATCTGCTCCATTTATGACAGGGTCCCTGTCATTGGATCCCAACTCTTACCTACTCTACTCTTACCTACCTCTACAAGGGATTTTATCTATTTGTGTGTGTGTGCATGTCATTTTCCCTTGAGCTATATGAGTGCTGTGCTCTTCCTTCCTTCATAAGTTTTGTTACTTACACATCTTGGAACTCCTCCAGCGTTTTCTGGGGTGTGAAGACATTTAATAAACTAATAATCTGGAAGAGAGAGAGAGTGGAAAGGACAGTGGAAATAGAGAAAGAAAAAGAGAGAGAATGAATTATTTTAAAAGTATATTTAAACATGTATTTATTCCAATTCAAAGTCGCTCACTAGTGCTATGGTAGAAACAGAAAAGTTGGAAAAAAATTATACTACTGTCTCACGGAACATAGAAAAGTATACTTAGAAACGACATATGATATATCTTCTGGTTAATAATGTAGTTAAAAAGCTCAAATTCTTGGTCAGAAGAGTCAGAGAAGATATATAATTACTATACTGCTTTAGGGTGTGATTCTTTGTGGTAGAATAAAAGGCTATAGGAGATCAGAGAAGCAGCAACGAAACACACAACAAGACCTGGCAAGGTGACATTTCCCCTCCAAGAGAACAAAATGGTATTCTGCTTCAAGATTTTTTGTGTGTTATCACTTCAGTTTTTTTTTTTTTTTACTTCTATCTCACAGTCAAATATTACTTAAACTAATGCCCCAATTATACGTATGGGGACAGGTGTGTCCTGGAGGATATATCAATGATGAATTTAGTAGAAAAGTTGTAAAAAAAAAAAAGTTTTTTAAATTCATTTTGCAACTTTTTGTTTCCCTGCTTTAATTATTGTATATATTAGGTAGTAAAGAAATTTACCTTCTAGCATAAGTAGATTCTGTAAAAACCTTTTACCACACTTCCAAATAGACTGCACACATAAGTAACTCAAAATATTCTTCCAGCTAAATATTCTATAGTAATGTGCCAGTAGGAAATGAAAATAAAAATATATAGATAACAATCTTCCACTCAGAAGATAGTTGCAAACCATTTTACAAAAACTGGATAAGTACAAGTTTAAGATTTAAACAGCTTCAAAGCATCAATGAATTCCAGTAAACTTCTTAAATGATATAAAAATATATGGAGTAATAAAAATAAAACAAAATTATTTTAAACACCTGAGAAATGCAGTCAATTTTATGGAATGCTTTATGCCTCAAGTAGTTTTCACTTGTTGAGAAATGATTGAGGGAAAAAAAATCACAATATTGTCTAGTATGCATATATATGGCAATGTCTGTAACCTAAAAATAAAAAAAAAAAAACACGATCACCTTTTCTAAAGCAACTTTGCATTGTGGAATATTCATATAGAAATAAAATTATTTCAAAATTATCTTTGAAATTTGTGATTAAAGTGCCTTGTTATTCTGTATATTTAGTTGTAATGAGTATTGAAAAATGGCTATGAAGTACATCTTTCTTTGGAATATCTACAGTGGGGTTTGTTTCTCTGCCAACCTCCTAAAATAGCTCATTTCATTTTAATATTTGTTCAAACAAAAATACTGGAGATTGTGCATAGGGCACACACACATACAAACATTCATGCAAACACTCTTTAAAGATGGAAAAATGCACATCGCCTGGTGAATAAATAATCTAGGCAATCTAAATCATCTAGAAAATAGCATTAGGATTTTAAATAAATCAAAATTTATTATTTTAAAAGATAATTTCTCAAGATCTAGTACCTATTGTATGTGCTTATTTTCCCTCTTCCTAGACCCTTGTTTTACCTTCTCTGATTTCCCGTTGAGAATTTCTCTTCGTTCTTTCTTTGCTCCCTTACAAATTCTAATTCCTACTAATAACCAAATTAAAATTTGTCTGTAGAAGGAGATCATCATTGGTAATTCCATTTTAGTTCAACAGTTTCCAGGCAGGACTCTGACTCAGTTCTTTCATTCCAGCATCTTGAGATGCACGAATGTGAACCAGTTTGTCATGGCCCCACAATCACATTAGTTGCTAGAACTGAGTATTCATTTTCTAAATAGATTTTCTTCACTATTATTAAAGATTTAATTGGATTACATTACTTTTTTCCTGTACTTTCCACAGCATTAACAGAGTTCTATATTCTGACTGACTTTTACTTGGTATTGCAAGTACTAATGTAGAATTTACATTTGGTGATAAGTGAACTTCCTCTTTTTTAACAAGTTCCAGAACTGTATTTCTGTGGACTTATATGCATAAATGCATACATACGTACACTCATAAAAGGAAAGTAGCAGGTGGGATGCTATTTACAAATTACCACTGCAATTTGGAGCTCCTTTTTAGGTATCATAAACATGAGTCCCCAATATTTTAGTTAAGAACGGGGAATATGATTCCCTCAAATTGGCAAGTAAGTGGGCATTTCTCCACAATGTATTGCATTACAGGGTCTGGAATGAGGATTCGGGAAATATATATATATATTTATAAACAAATATAAATATATATTTATAAACACATCTAAATATATATTATATATATTCCATACAGTTACTTCATTACTTGTATCCACCCATTTCCCATGGCCCGTGTTATGTTTCATCTTCTTTGCTACCGCAAAAATATACTGTATTGGTCATTTGGCTAATCTTGCTCCTGCCTTTATTTAACATACTGAAAGAACAATTTACTTTAGTATATGACTCTTCTTAGGATCCATCCTTTCTGTCATTCCTATATTTCTTTCTAGAAGTCTCAAGTTCACGTTCTTTGCATGGTCATGTTAGAGATGGGTACACACTTGATGAAATTCCCTTTTCTCAGTGAGGACTTTGCTGCTCCACCTATTTAAAAGGGTAACCCTGTTCCAGTCCACACTGAGCAGCACTGTTTATCTTCCTTCTTTGCTTTGTTTACTTACTAGTACTGGCCACCGTCTGACATTCTACACGGCTGCCCATCTACTCTGTGGGTGGCCTTTCCCTCACTGGCAGAGCATAAACTCCATGTGAGCTGGGACTTGTCTCTGTTTTCGTCACTGCTGTATCCACAGCATCTACAGCATCTAGATCTGTGCCTGGCACATTTCATTTGTTCAACAAATACATGTCAAATGACAGAATTAGAATGCCATTCGAGTAGAGTAACAGGGAAAAGAGAAACACTGTCATTGGCCCTGAATCCACATACTCGTATTTCAAATATCTTTCAACTAAACACTAATACATTTGCTTTTTGCCAGTGCCACTGACAGAGGCTAGCCTTAGGACAAAATACCTGGTTTATAAAACTGCACTGATAATTCCATGTATTCTGTGTGATTTTCACACTTAACAAGAACTTAGTAGAGAGTGATGATAGCTATTATATTTTATAATAATTTGATTTATATTAAAATTATTTTTATTTATTAAGATAAAATTTAATTTATAACTTGTATTATTATATATTTATATGTAACAAAATATATTTAATATGTTTGCTATGATTTACGTATTAATAATGGTCATTATTAAAATAATGAATTCTCTCCATTTATCCTTACTAAGAAGAACTGGGGTACAGAAAGAATTCTAGGAATTGCCAGGCAGAGCAGCATGACATCCGCCCTGGAGAACTACATCAACCAAACTGCTGCTGTTATCACTTCTGATGGGGAATGATTGGGTTTTGGCCAGACCATTGATGTGATTTTTGGATGAAAGCCATGAACGAGGGTATTCAGCTCTTCACAGGGAGTAGAGCAAGCAGTACTGGGACTACACATTTAAGTGGTGACAATGTTGCAGTTCATTGGAGAAACTGATGAAGAGACAGATTCTGGCCTCATTTGGGGAATACTCAAGCAGAACCTCTAAACTCTGTAGCACTGAAGAAAAACTACATACTTGGACATCTGTAAATCTTTGAAACTT